GCATGATATGATTGTCAAACATAAGTCTCGCATTAATGAAATCAGTAATTTATTTCGAATTTGGATTGAAATCAATTAAAACAAATTCATTTGCATAATTTGATTAATTTTTTTTTTTTTTTTTTTTTTGGAACACATTTTTGTTTCCAATCTTTATAATCTCTAATTACTTATTTTTAAAACACTTAAAATATTAACCGTAAAATTTAATATTCTTATAATTTTTGTTCTAAATTTGAAATTTGTTAACGGAATGTAATGATGTTCATACAAATTACCGCTTTTACAAACACAACAACAAATTTTCTTCAAATATTTTAATTATAAAAGTCAAGAAAATTGTTTAAAAAAAAAAATTTAATAATTAGACAGCCAATTATTATTTCATCAAATGACATATTTAAATAATCACACAACAAATATTTTAAATTAAATAAATAACATTAATAATTACATATTGTTCATTAAATTACAGGACTTAAAATTATGTGTCTGTTCATTTAAGATAATTCATTTATTTATTTTTTATTCGTTAAAAACAAAATCCTAATGCAATAAAAATCAAAATTGTTCTTGTGTCAGAATATTAAAGTTACTCACTATATATACACATATATGTATGTACAAATAACATATTTCTCATAATCGTAACACTGACGATATGATGATTATTATTATTATTATTATTATTAGAAGTTGAGTTAAAGTTTAGAATGGCAATTTATTAGCCTGGACGTATCATTGTCCGAAATAGAAGGAAAAATTGCTACAAATATTTTTCCATTTCTTTCTTCTCTTGTTCTCCATTTTTTTTTTCTTCGTGTATTAACAACACATTTTCTTAAGGATTATATCGATAATCAAAATTAAAAAAATAATGTCTTTATTTCTGTCTGTGTTCTTTTTTTTTTTTCTTTTTCTTTTTCACGATTACTCTGAAACGAGTAACAACATCCAAGAAATTTAATTTAATTTAATTTAATTTAATTTAATATAATTTAATTTAATATAATATAATTTAATTTAATTGTAATTTTTTTCTATATAATATTCTTTATTTATTTCTTCTTTTTCATCACTTTCGTCATCTTCTTCTTCTTCTTCTTCTTCTTCTTTCTTTTTCAATTGTAATCCTAAAACTTTGAAATTACGTGAAACAATTCAATGATACTTGATCAGAGTAACAAAGAGAAAAATAAACTCTTTTTTGGAGATTCATTAATCTGAGATTATAATATATCATCATCGTCATCACAATTTAGCATCAAATGGTTATTTTCGAAGAAAAAAAGAATAGTTGTCATCTAAGAATTTTCATAACAGCACAAGAAAAAATCAGAATTTCGCAATAATATACATATATATAAATATATGTATATATATATACATATATATATATATGCATTGCTGGATCTCATAATAATAAATATAATTAATGTATTTTTACCAATCAATCCTTTCGTTCGTTTGAAAGAAAAACACAATTTGTTTGTTTATCTTTTGTTTTAAACCGAGTGCATAATATGTAATCAAAAATCCGCCTTGAATAATATCAGAATACAATGCCATAACGAAGGGCATATTTATCGCATTAACTAACAGTATAATAATAATGTGCAGTATACACAGCAAGCACGAATCAATCACGACAAAGTTATGTTACATTCAATCTATTGATTTTTTTGTTCTTTTTGTTTTTTTATATAGTTATAGTTGTAATAGTGTGTTAGTTGTCGTTGATAGTAAAATTCACATTTTGAGTAAGTTCAAAATTCATAATATAATAATAACGATATTAGAGGTTGTCACGCAGATGACAATTGTGTTTTTTTTAAATGTATGTAACAAACGTACATATCACTTTTCGCAAACAATGCTTTATTACATATTCCGTTCTGTCTTTCTTTCTGTATTTTTTTTTCTCTTTCTCAGCTTTCTTGATTTATCACAGCTGGGGGCAGAGATGAGAAGGAAGAGGATCTTTTACTACTCTTCTTTTTCATTTGTTCTTCATTCTTTAACTTTACATCTCACGACCAAAATGAAAAAAAAAAAAAAAAAGACAAGAAAAATAGAGAACAGCTGGACATGTTTCATTGGTCTCTCCTTATTCCACATAATCCCACCAATCATTTTCATAACCCTCGTGAACATGTTCTAGAAGTACTTTTCGTCGACTTTCGCAATATCTTTAAAACAAAAATACAAATATTCAGATATATAGAAAATTGTTATATAAATAATATATATTTTTCTATGTACCTATATTTATCCTGAACCTTTTGTTTAATACCGGAAAGGTTCTCACTCGTAATATCTCTTTCGAGATATTCAGAGAGGCACTCAGTGGCGCTCTCTAGATCCTTTTGGTTGGTTTCAAAAATCACAGACTGATTGGTTTTCTTCAAATAGTAGGCAAATACATAAGTATACATGAGAGTTTGTCTACAGGAACATAAAATATCGACTGCTTTCTTTAAAAATTGTACCTAAATATTAAAATTATAGGTTAGGTTAAATAAATTTGTTATTATTGGACGAGTGTATTTACGAAACTAATTTGTTTCTTTACCTCGATCCAAGACATATTGTGTTGTTGCATTTCCTCCATTTTTTCTTTTACGCTAGCATATAACTTGTTTTCAAACCTCAAGGATTGCATGTGATTCATATACCTATTGCAATAAAACAAATAACGCTGCAAAGCAGACCTTGATTGATCTTGAGCAACTCGCGCTGCTTTGGCTTCTTCTTCATCATATCGATTACAATTGTACCAACTAGATCCATGTGGTTCCCAAGGACCAAGACATACCCAACAAAAGTCAGCTTTACAGTTTTGATTTTTGCATACCATGTGATTACAACCACCATCTTTTTCTATTGTAACGTTACACTTCGGACATTCTTTAGTATTTGCTGCGATCCAATTAGAGGTTTCCGAATCGTCATCACATTTTTTGATCCACTTACGTAACAAATGACATTTAACTGGGTCATGCCAATCTCCACAACAATAAAAACAAAATGTGTGACCACATTTACATGTAACAGGTCTTGAATCTACATATTGTACTTTGACGGCATTACTACAATCTGGCGATGGACACCACTTTAACAGCCTATTACACTGTTAAATAAATCAAATGTAACATGACTATTTGTAATATATCAATGAAATATTTATTCTTGAAAAAATCTTAATCCTTACTTGCACAAAACTGTTTGTTATCAAGTGCTGATATTTCAGTTTAACTTTTGAGTCTTTAACTAGCCGCATAACACTAGCATCGTCAACTAAAATGTCACAGGCATGAGCGGCACATGCAATTGTTTGTCCAACACCTTCTTCCATTATTTTGGTTGTGAGATATTCACCCCAGCATCCGGTGCAAAAACGATGTCCACATTCCAGACCAGTCATCATCTAAATATTATATACATATATATGTATAAATACATATATATAAATATATTACATTTAATAATAATCAACTCCAAATGTGTAATAACACTTACAGAGGATGGTAGAGTCATTAAACAAATTCCACATTCTTCTGCTCCATTTACGGATGTTCTCCTACTAGACTGTGAGAAATACGTGTATGGTTAACTGAATAATCAATTCGTTCCTGTTATAATTCTACACTGACATATTAATATATATATAATTATTTTTACCAAGGAACTTTGAGAAGACCAACTCTTATTTATCACAGAACCTTTCCTGAATGGATTAATGACACGTGCTTCTCTAAATAATTTTTCTTGGTCCGTATCATAAAAGCGTTCCATTAATTTTTCTTTGTCCCATTTAAAATGATTTAACAAAATGCGTGTTGTTGTGGCCGGTATCTATAAGAATTGATTTCATTTAGATGAACCAATCAAAAAATAATATCCTATTATTCGATCAATTAGTCTAATTCCATAAAACATACTTCAACGACACTGTTGACCTCCTTTATAGAATCAACCATGTGTTGTACAATTTCTTCTGTTGATAAAACTTCAAATGGATATTCGTCAACTTCCATATTCCGGTCACGTAGATTCCCAGATTCAATATCCATAGCATAGTCAACATCGTCTCCACTAGACTCGTTTCCGGAATCGTTCATTGTTTCTTCTTCTGAATCCATTCTCTATTGAACCATTAAGTAGTTTAAAACACTTTTGTATTAACCATATATAATATATAGTGAACTTACACAACACACATCTACTTGTCAAATTATTAAGAATACTGATTTAGTGACAGACTACTCATTTTTATAAAATTACTGAACATAAGGATCTTAGTTTCAAGTATTAATTTTATCTACAGAAATATATCTATAACTTTAAATGCCGCGCCAGTTCCTACAAATTGGCCTTAAATTTTTTATTCAGGTATATCACTGTCACCAATGATTGACATTTTTCTGCTTTTTTATGACTGACAAATCATTATAGCCTAAGTAGGAAAAGTCAACAAAAGATGCTTAACGCTTAACACAATATAATATAAACTAACAGCAACGAGGAATATAATTAGAAAAACCAAAACAATTTATGCTGTATCCAAATTTGATGAACCACTCTTCGTAACCTATATACACACATACATATACATATCAATATACACACACATTATCAAAGATTACTAATTTAAAAGATAAATTAGATGTATTAAAAATTGTATAACCTTTATCCACGAACGATTACAAAGAACAAGGTGGAAAAAAAGTTCTTATGTTTCAGTACATGACGTCATTATCTTCTACTTCCCCGAATAAAGTGTCAGACATATCTCCAATGCGATTTTATATATATAGATATATAGTTCAACACCGTTAACAAATTTTCTTTCTTCCGTTATTTTAACAAACAAACCCTTTCGCGAAACTATGAAAAATAACTTTGTATCGATTAAATGCGATTTAAACGATTAAATTTGAAAGTGCTCCGATAATATCGGCGGAAGTGAAAAATAATATCAGCTGCCAAAACATCGAAGCGCTCTGCTCCGGCAGCTGATACACCGAACACTGCAGTCACGGGAAAAACGATGAATGGGTCAAGATCTCAACGACCAATCACGATTCGCGAGAATTCTCTTCTGACCAATAGCGATAAGTGTTTATCGCTACGGCGATTGATAATTCTTATCGTTTGCGAACTCGAAAGAAAGAAAGAAAGAAAGAGAGAGAGAGAGAGAGAGAAAAAAGAGAAAGAGTGTGCGCGTGAGAACGAATTGTTCTCGAAATAAATAACCTTTTGTGAAAACTAATAGCAATCTTTTTTTCTTTTTTCCTTTTTTTTTTATATTATAACGATGAGAATTTTCTCAAGATAAAAAAAACAAAAAAGAAAAAAAATTCGTAGCGCAATAAAAATAAGAAATCGAATATAAATCCTCTTCTATTATTTGCACACGTAAACAAAAATGAAAAAAAAATAATAATTGAACGCTACAACGTTTTTTGATAAATAATCAATAAATCTTATCGCATCGATGTACTGATAACTATTGCTTCATAACCTTGAAAAACATTTTACAAAGATGTATATATATGTGTGTATGTACCTTCCGAAAATTCTATTGTATGAAACAAACACAGTTACAATCTAATACACTTCACGATTAGAAAAAGAAAAGTTAAAGATTAATTACAATTCAGTTTTTTTTTTTTTTTTTCAAATAAAATAATCTATGTGAATATAGACACGAGGAGAATGGACGATAAACTGTGTTACGCGCACAAACACATAATTCGAGATTAATCACTGTACGATAGTATTCACGAATTTTCAAATAGTAAACTTAAGAAGTACACTGAATTAACCTACCAACAAGTCAAACAAAACGTATATACGATGAATCAATATTAGATTGAATTTTTATCAAAGCTCTTTGCCATGAAGAATACATAATAAAACGAGCCAAACGAGATTAGTCGGAAAAAGCCGATAATTCACGATCGATCGGTAAAGTTGAACACTGCAAAATATTTTTATCGTCGCGATTTATATTAAAAGATAAAGACAAAAAAGTATAATAATAATAAAATTATTACGATTATTTGTATCGGAGGACGTTGTTGTAATCACTTTAAGAGTCAGCAGCAGCACACAGGTATGCACGATGATATCCGTTAAAAAGATAAGAGCCCATCATTAATGTTTATTGTTTTCCTAAAGAAGAAAAAAGATGACATATCATTTAGACACTATTTTTTGTCTTCTCTCTTTTTCTTTATATATATATAAAAAAAAAAAAAAAAAGTAAAACTTTCTAATAACACATTTTGTCACACAGAACATATGAGAAAAATTTTTGTTTGTTAATAAATAATTGTGCTTGTAGGTGGTCGCATTGGTATATAAACATATGCGTCCCTCGTCCATTGCACTCGTTCTTTCTCGTTTGTATTCGATGCACTCTTCGAAACGATAAATAACGATGAGAAGAGAAAGAGAGAGAGAAAGAGAGAGAAAGAAACAAAGAAGATAAAATAAAGATAGCAATAGATGAAGCGATAGAATAAGAAAGAATGAGAGAGAGAGAGAGAGAGAGAGAGAAAGAGAGAAAGGATAGAATGAAGTAGATTTGGAACGCACCATTTACCATGAAGGAGAGAAGGAGATACGAGCTTATAGCTTGACAACTGCTGTCACGTCCATAACGTTAAAGTGTGTCTGATATGTATATAGGTGTATATCAGAGGAGAAATGTCGAAGAGAGAAGACAAGTTTTTCGTTCGATATTGAACGAACACGAAGATCCGTAGTATCTTCTTCTCTTCTTATCTTAAAACTTGTTTTTTGTCACTTTAACACAATTCTATTCTTCTTTCTCTTGCCTGTTTATTTCTTTGATCTTTTTTGTCTTTTCCGATTATTCGTTTTCCCCTTCTTCTTCCTCCTTTTCTTCCCTCTTCTCCTCTTACTCCTTTACCCCCTTTTTCTTCGACCTTCTTCCACTTTTTTTTCTTCTTCTTTTTCTTTCCTACGGACGAGAATTTTCGAATTTTTCCTTTATTCCTTTAGTTCGCTTTCCTTTTTTTTTTATCGTATTTAAGTAAATAAGAAAATAGATTGGCAAAAACACAAAATTTTGCAATGAAATTATTTAATCAAGAGATACTCGTCGTAGTCGTCGTTGTTCGATTTTGGTCGTAATTATGACACGGTACTACAGCTTCTACTACTTCTGCTTCTGCTGATTTAGTGCGGTGCTTTTAGCAAATTCGCGAGAAACAAACGATCGCCGTACGGTGTCGCCACAGTCAATACTTTGAACATAGCTACTATACCGTAAGAGCGTGAACATGGCGCACACCTACCAACCAATGGCATCACGTAGACATGGCGCCATCTACGATTAATCTTTTTTTTTGAATTTATATCATTTATCATTTATCAATATTTTATTATGTTCATTATTTATAACACAATTCTTACTCATTTTTTTTTAATTTTGTCTTTAATACGTTTCAGTCTTATGTGTTATATTTTCTTTCGACAAAATAAAACATTTAATATTTAATCAGATTATTTTATTATTATTTTTAATAACATTATTATTTCAGTCTATCTCAGTATCGTTTTAAATTATTGTTTTATTTTTTTAATTACAATTTGTAACAGAAATGTTTTTGAATAAAATAATTAAAATTTCTGTAATTATGTTAATAAGAAAATTATATATATATATATATATATATATATATATATGGCTAGGTGAATTGAAAAGTTTAGAGCCTCAACAAAAAAGCTTTTATTTAAAATAAAAGTTAATTTGATCATCATAGTATCATATTTATATTCGAACGAAATATTTAAAATGACGAATAGTAAAGCTTTAATAACGATGAAGTTTGTATATATATTTGTGACAAATAAATAAACTAAATAAAATAAATAACAAATATACATAAAGTATATGACCTTAGAATTATATATATATATAGCATTATAAATATAATATAAGAAAATAGAAACACACATATTTAAATTGGATGAAACAGTAATGTTGTAACAGAAGATATTTACACTATTGTAATATCACAAGTATGGTGTAGAAAAGTTTAGCAAATTTATTCCGTCAAGCGAATCCAGGATTATCTGAGTATAATGTTGAAGTAAAGATTATAATTGTTAGGGTAAAATGAGTTTTTCAAGTGTGAGTGATTACTTGTTTATCGACTTTATCGGTGTGGGAAGTAATTCAACAGTTTTTTTAGCAGTACGAAAGGTAAACATTTTTGTATTTTCAATTTCAGAGTAAAAGTATTCTCTTTAGCACACATACAAAATTATATATTATTCTCAGGAGCGTATATAGATAGATATTTTAAAGGGAGTTTATATTCATTATCTTTAAGATGTTCAAAGAGTTTATTCTTTTGTTAAGAATTTTTTTGTTTTTTTTTTTTAATTTCTTAACAACTCGATAAGAGATAAGCAAACTTACGTAAATCTTTTTATCGGAAATCTAAATCAACTCGTTGAACTTTCTCCTTTCTCGTTCGATTAATATTTTTCTTCTTGATTTCTTCCCCTTTTTTTTGTTTTTTTGTTTTTTTTTAAACGAATGTATTCATTACAATATTTACAATTGGAGTGAAATTTTGGAAAGAAATATTTCCAACATATATTTGAGAATGAGAAACGTTATTGGACGTAATATAAAATAATTATATAGGTCATTTGTGTTTACTATTAATAATTTGTCGATAGTAATATTTATCATGCAGTAGCAATATCAAGAAATTATTACACATGTATCTCATGAACGATCGCAATATCTAAAAATAAAAGTTAAATGAAACTCTTGACTAGATTGTCCAATCAACTTGATATTAATTTTTTAAATACACTTGATATATATTATAAAATAATGATTTATTTAAAAATATATATCTAGATATAAAAATTGGAAGAAAAATTTTCGATTAAATCTAATCATGAGTAATAATAATTATCAATCTTTTAATTATCCTGGAATTTCCACTTATTAATGATTTTTTATAAAAAAATAAAATGAATTTAACAAAAAAAAAAAAAACACACAATGATTTTGTTTTCAGGATAATCTAGATGAAACGCTGGCGATAAAATGTATCAATATATCAAAACTATCAAAAAGAACTATCGAAAAAATCGTCGAGACAAGTAATAAATTGAAGTCATTAAATCATGAAAATATTGTGCAGTTGAAGGACTTTTTTATAAATGGACCGTGCGTTAAACTTAAAATTCTTTCTTTTATCTTATAAATAGTATTAAGTTAAATAAAATTGAATGAAATTAGATTATAATAATATCTAATGATTTGAAACATTTAACAGAGGAATATAAATATAAGAATTAAAGTTTTCATTAATTTTCTTTTATTTATAATATTATTTTATTTTAATTTATTTTTTATAGAGCGGGATTCAAGTGCTCTAAAACGTTTTACAAAATCAATTACTATTTTTCGAAACTTTTTCTGATTATTTATTAATTTATTTTTGTTTACTTTTTATCAAAACAATATAACCACAAATCCAGATTATCAAATTAAAAATTTAACCACAAACTTGAACATTGTCATTAAATGATATAATTGATATTTACAATTATCTAGAAAATTTTTTATAATTATTTCAATAAAATTAAAATTTAATAAATATTTTAATAAAATTTTATAATTGATATTTACAATCATCTAGACAATTTTAATCTACACCATTAAATAAAGATAATCAAGAAAATTATTATTATTATTATTATTATTATTATTATTATAATAAAATATAATTTAATTTAATTTAATATATAAAAATTGCGGACGTCAGAAATGATGTCCTTGGGACCACCGCCAATAACTTCGACCTAGTGGGCTCAGGGGCGGCCAGACTCCTGCGCTTTGCAAGGGAGTCGGGGCTGCCCGCGGGACCGCTACGGTCATAGGTTTTTCCCCGCAAGGGGCCCGGGTACAATGGTCCAGAGACTGAGCGCCCGAGTAAACAAACCTCAAGGAAAAAAAAAATATATATATATATATATATAAATATATAAATGATTTTTATATTAAAAATAAAAATGTAATCTCTCTCTTATTCTTTTGATTTTAGGCGAATGTATTTCGTTATGGAATATTGCGATGGCGGCTCAATTTCGAATTATCAAATGAGTTTGTTGGTTTGCCAACAAATCATGCGACAGTTAGCTTCAGCATTGCAATATTTGCACAGCCACAATATTTTTCATATGAATTTAAAACCAAAAAATTTATTGATCTTGTCAAAACCTTTAACACTCAAGATTGGAGGTTCGTTTATGTACATATAGGGGCGCGCGCGCGCTCGCGCACATATATTAATTTATATTATGTTAAAATTTTTTTAAAAGTATATATTTAATAAAATTCAAAGAAAAAACAAAAAAGAAATAATAAAAAGGAAAAAGTAAATGTAATTAAATCTTATGTAAAATTTTAAGACAATCTTATCCATCGATTACGTGACGTCATTGTGGATCATAAACACGTGATTCGTGGATCATTTTTCTTTTTTCTTTTTCATTTGTTTTTTTTTGTTTTCTTTTTTTTATTATAATTATTATTATTGTTATTATTATTATTATTATTATAGATTATGGTTTTGCCCAACATTTATCCCACAATGAATACAAATTACACATACATGGATCACCACTTTATAAGGCACCGGAAATCTTATTAGACGAAAAATTTGATAATCGAATCGATCTTTGGAGCATAGGTATTATCATGTATGAATGGATTTTTAATAAGCCACCATTTTTTGGTCTTATTCCTGAAATGACGGATAAAATCAAGAAGTGCCAACGAATCGAGGTGATAATACCATTGTACGCAAGATTCTTTTATTAACAAAATTAAAAAAGATAGATAGAATATTTAAATAGATAAAATTTGTGTAATCTTGCGATCACTTTAATTTCACTTAAAAAAAAAAAAAAGAAAGAAAAAAAAAAGCATTTCTTGGAAAATATTATTTTATTTTATTTTAACCCTTTCGCCACTACGGGACACTATAGCCATTATGCATAAACGGGGCCGTTGTCGATTTTAATCGAGCACCGTGTACATTTTTGGCGCGGCGGTACGTTCAGCGGAACTACCACGGCGAAGAGAAGTCGCCCGTAGCGAAAGGGTTAATTTGTTTTTCTTTTTGTTTGTTTAATTTTTGTTCTCTCTTCTTTTTTTCTCCTCAACGTCAAACACGTAGATTCCACAAATACCTCGTATTTCCAACGAATGCAAGCATCTTCTGAGTTCCTTGCTTCAGCGCAACCTTGAATATCGCTTTAAATTCGAGGACTTCTTCTCCGATAAGTTTTTGGATTTGGAACATATTCCGTGCGAGAAAAACTTTATAAAAGCGGTAAAACTTTTACAAAATGCTGCTCAATTGGAATTTGGAAATAAATTGAAAGAAGCCTTCGATTTGTATTCCAATGCTAAGAAATATTTTGTTCCTATGTTAACAAGTAAATATTCCTCTTCCTCTATTTTTTTTTTTTTTTTAGTTCACAATAATATTTTTATCCTTAATCGTATCCATTATTTTTTCACTAGGCGATATTTTTGAAAACAGGAAAAACGAAATACAATTACACATACATGATATAATCTATCATATGGAGGAGATCAGATTTAAATTATTGTATGATGATTCAGTGAATATGTATGAAAGTCATAGAGTACTGACAAAGCCACCGATCCATTGTAATATGATTCCAAAAAGATTGTCACCAATATTAAAAGGAAGTGTGAAATATCTCTATAAAAAATTACGTTCGTATTTTTTTCAATATATCATATAATATTTATTCACATGTAAAGTTTATGAACACTAGAACTATCGAAAAAAAAAAAAAACGATGCTACTTCTATCAAAACCAGTCAAAATGGTTGGGTCTGATCTTTTAAAAAACGTAAAAACAGAATATTTTTTTTATAAATTTATTACTATCTTAAAAAAAGAATTTAAGATTATAAAATTACAACTATATCATGCTAACTATACAAAATATAATAATACTAACAAGTATAAACAGAATTTTTGGCAGCTAAAATAATAAAATAATCTTACATTAAAGTAAAAATAAGAAGTGTGTTATAATTATGAACGTAATAGAATCTGAAATAGAAATTAAAAAAAATAATTATTTATTATTTTTAATATAAAATATTAAAAAATGATTATTATATATACCTGGAAATATAAAGTCTTATCGAGATATCTTTTCACCTGTGGTTTACCTATGTAAGATCCAGACATGTATGCAGGCTAAATCTAAAATATTATAAAATACTTGGAGTGGCCATCTTCTAGATCCGAATTTTATACTATATTTCTTTGCTATTTGGTCTGTAATGTCTACGCTAAATTTAGTTTTATTATAATATTAAGAAAGAAAATATTCTAACAAAAAATACTAGATTCCTCTAAACATATCTAATCAACGGTGTAGATTTCAAAAAACAATATCTTAAGATGTACTTTCATTTTAAGAAGTACCAGTAAAAATGACTGATATTTGTAGAAGTAGCAAAGATAAAAAATTACTCGAGTTCTGTATAACTTATAAAAAAAAAATTATTTTTTTAAACCTTTACTTATAACTACAAAAGTCATCATATCATTTCAGAAAAAAAAATGTAACACGAAGTGGGAATTTAATAATGAAGTTGAATCATTAGTCAAAATGACTAGTCTGATAGTTCTAGTGTTAAGTAAATAGTGGTATAAGTGAGTGGGAAATGATTCTACTTGAAATAATTAACAATAAGTCAAAAAAAATAGAATAACATTTGTTTAGAGAAGTCTTTGTTTTGGAAAAAAGAAAATAAGTTTGAGAATTTATCAAATATAACATTTGTGCCCATAATTATGAAAGTGGTCTAAGTCATGCATCTCTTGTTTCGAGATATTTAAAGATTTCTATTTGAACACTATATGAATTCTATGTAATATTGAAAAAACAAACATTATCTAAAGATTCATTTTTGACAATATCGTAAAAATTACATTGAATTTATTTAGTTTAAAATAAAGTGGTGCGTACTAACTAATAAACTCAGTTTTTTTTTCATTTTGACTTAGACCACTTTCATATATGTCATATTATGGACACATTTGACTCTTAGGGTTCAATATATAGAATTGAATATTTCTTGGTGTTTATGTTTCATGTATTAGTAATTTGTATACTGCATATGTCTATTGCCTTCTAGAGTCCCAAGATATGAGACTGAAATTTTATTCTCAATTTTTTTTTTTTTTTTATTAAAAAAAAATGAGTTTAGAAAATATTCATTTTGGACTTTGGGAATCCCATCAACAGTGGGCCCCAATTGTCGGGCACAATGATTCAGAGACTGAGCGCCTGGGTAAACAAACCTCAAGGGCCCCAATTGTCTTTTGTTATTAGAACAATACACCTAATCATCGATTTTTTTCTCTCTTCTTCTAATTTGATGAATATTTTTGTTATATTAGGAAAACTTAGTGTGCCTTTACCAGAAATAAACTATGGACTAGAATTAGGAGCATTTGGAGTGTATTATCTTTGTGAGGGCGATTACACACGAGCTAAAGAATTATTCGAAAAGGCTTTAAATGAATTAATACCACTACTGAGAGACGAACCACCTAGTATCAAAAGAGAAATACTGAAAAATCAGGTATATAAATTGTTTTTATTAATAAATTAAATATTAAATTCTTAGGTTAATCATGTTAGTTCTTAAAACATCCGTTAGGGTTCTGTGAGTCTGATTTAGGGTTAGGGTTAGGTTAGAGCATAGGATACTCATTTGGATCCTGAAAATTTACAGGAATAAATTCTAATAAATATATTTTTTAATTGATATAATACGAAAGGACATTTTTACCGTATAAATTAAAACATTTCAAATATTTCATAATATGAGAAAATAAAGGTTAATTGAATGAATTTTGACAAAATATAATTCATTTGGTAAATTATCTAGTAACTTTATGGTTAGGTAACTTTTATGGCATAGTAATGTGTTTAATTTAATAAATTTAAAAAATGAAAATATTTTCGAAAATTTTTAATTAAAATACCGTAGAGAACAATCTAATGCAATTAGTATTAAAAATTTATTGATTTTTATACGTATTAACAGGTGGACTTTTGGAATAGATTACTAATAGCTGCAGATAGTCATTTTACAACAAACGATATATATACAACACTTGCTATTAAGTCTAGGGAACTTTGCGTAATACAATAAGATGCGATTATTTTCGTGATTGCGAAAATAGTAAAAAGTAATACGAATAATATTACGTAATTATTATTCTTATTATTATATTTAAGGTTTAGTGTGTTAATGTCATTTGGTTATTTTTGTATTTTCTTACTATTTGTAGTACTATTTGTATACTTAATGTAATTTGATTATTTTTGTATTTTCTTATTATTTGACTTAAGAGTTGACTGACTTATTCAAGATAAATTATAAATGTACATATATATATATATACATATAATATATCTATATATGCATGCATGCATGTACATATAAATATATACTAATAAATATATAAATATATATATAATATGTACATAATATATCTATATGTATATACATATTTATATATGTATATATATACAAAGTAATAATTAATATCTTTTTACAACATCCTTCAAAAAGTCAGGAAATAATATGATTTATTCTTATTATTACATATAGGTTAATGTTTAACACATTTTTTTTTTTTACTTACTCTATGTATATATGTTAATGTATATATTTTTGTGTTATATTTTTCTTCTTTTCTTTTTACTTCAACTAGTTTTACCATACTAATAATTTGTATATAGAATCAAGGTTAACCTATCATTAGATAATTATTTTAACTTTTTTGTACAAGCAATTAAGTTTCTCGATAAAACGATGAACCTTGTTTTTCAAAAATAATAAAAAAAAAATAAAATTATTCAAAAAAAAAGAAAAAATATCGAAGAAAAAGAAAAGAAAAAAAAAGAAAAAAAAAACGTAATGTGAATTTTTAGAGTTAAAGGGGAATTTTATCTATTTGTGTATTTCTATTTTGTAACGACCATTATATACGAGCTTTAATAAAGAGAAGTTTTTTGTAATCAAATATATCATCTTATTCTTTTGCAAAATACTGAAAAAAAAATAAACTTGTAAAATTATTCATTTAATATATATATTTAATTAGTACAAGTTAATTAACAAAATTAATTAATGTTGAAAAAAATTGGCGTTGGTTATTGAAGTAACACATTCTATTATTTCGTCAAAAAAAAAAAAGAAAAATAATAAAAATAAATGTTACAATAAATTTTTTTTTGATGATGTAATATTCACAAAAATTTCAAAAATAAATTCAAAAAAAGAAATATGGAACACATTCCTTCACGATTTCCTTGAAAAGAACAAAGGACAAAGGAAAAGGTGCATATGGTATGATATGCCATAAGTGTATGGTATGGCATATATATATATATATATATATATATATATATACATAACTATAGTATATAGTCTATATAGTCTGTATAGTCTATATAGTATTTGTACATAAATTTTTATACAAATAAAATGTTCAAATTACATTCCTATATTATTTACAATTAAATTATAATAAAGTTTTCTTTTAAATTACTTTAAAATAAATATTAAAAAGGAAAAAAGAATCCAAATAAACAGAAATTAAATATTTTGGAAGGTAAAAGATGGCGCTGATGTGAAAACCCATCATCCCTTGCAACTTTCGGTTAAATCACGTGATATCTAACGGTCGCGTCTGCCCAAAGCATCATGGAAATTTCCATTCTCGTATAATATAACCCACTCAACCGCTTTTCTCCTCCCCCCATCTTTTCTTATCCCCCCTCCGATTTACTTCCTCTGGCCCCCTCCTATATTTTATGTACATAAGCCCCCACTTTGGGAAAACATCACGCCATGTTTGATTACCTCCACCTAACATTTGTTCACCAATAGAATCGCACGTAGTTATATACAGAAACCCCCCACTACTCGCGATAGTACTCATAAATCCCCACTACTCGATGATTTCGCGCGTTTTATTTAGAATGATTTGGCAACGTAGCACTGTAAGTACATAAGGGAAGAGTAGGGGGGCAAAGCAACGGTGAGGAGGGGTGCAGTTGGTTTATTAGAGGGGAGCGGGGAATCGAACCGTCCGGGGGGTGAGCGGTGAGTAGGGGGTAGACAATGCCACCTGGTGGGGGGTTCTGTGGAAACAAAGGGGGTAAAGGGCGAGGGGTAGGAAGGCGGGAGGGAAGATAGGAGAAAGAACTGGCAACGTGTACCACATTCAAATCTGAACGGAACACGGGTCTACTTCTACTGAGTGCCGTAAGGACAAATACGAAAAAACGTGGTAATACGCGCGAACAGAAATTTATCCCGCGCTTCGTGATATAGCTTTGGAAGTATCTCGTTCGTATTATGAATAAGAAAATATTCGTTTTATCATTAACTTTTGATGTATAATACTCGTTGCGTACCCGTTTATACTCGTTGCGTTGTTAGAGTGCAGTAACTGAAAAAAAAAAAAAAAGGTACCATGCCTATACGCTCGTCATTCGTTCTTCCGTTTCTCTTCTTCCGTTTCGTTGTTTAGTCGGTCGTTTTTTTTTTTATATTTATACGTGCATACGATCACGCTTGCACGCAAGCACGCGAGTGTATATATATATATATATATATCTACTTATATGAGAGCGAAAGTGAAAAACAGGATTGTTGTATAGTAAATGCAATACAACGACTGCACGATAGACGTGCAATGTGTGGATAAATACATGCACGACTTCTTCAAAAGATTCTATAGAATTGTTCCTACCTCCTAAAGCTTCTATATCTTATCCTTCTCCTCTCTCTCTCTCTCTCTCTCTCTCGTTCCCTTTCCCCCCTATCTTGATCCTTTCCCCTTTCTCACAACCCCCTTCTCCTATTTCTTTTTTTTTTTTATTTACAATTAGTTTTACTCTCATTCTTTTTTCCCTTATTTCTTTTGTGCGCGCTCTTACAAATTTCGCGGTTCTATGTATACCGGTAGTTGATGTAAATGTCACGAATAATAAGCAAGACTAGTGCCTTAACCGCGACAAAAAAGTGTCTCTTAAAGGGACAAAATTATGTGTATGGACGTTCCGATTAACAAGAAGAAGAAGAAGATGACCGACAGCATAGTCGATGAGGAGGTGCAGATAGTAGAAGCCCGCGTTACCAGAGGTGAGTGTATTTGTTTTTTGAGGTTATGTACAGAGTACCGGCGCGGCCAGCACTGCCAGCGATCGTAGTTACAAGTTGTACGTACTAAGTACAAACCGGTTTATTTATGCCCTATCTTCTGTTGACAAAATCCACCTATTAATAAGTACATTCATTTAGTTTACGACTATTCCACTTCCAGGATAAATTATACCTGGTAACCTTCACATCATTATTGTATTTTTTTTTATTATCCTCTTTTTATTTTCTTTAATCCCATAATACTAATGTATATTGTACTATTTATGATACTGTTATTGTATCATAATTGTACCGGTAATCACAATAGTGGCCTAAATCAAAAAGTTAAACATTATTATTTATTTTACAACATAAACAAATCATAAAATTTATTTATACAATTGTTTCACATGTGTCATCCTCGTTGTTTAACATTAAGTTGTCTATTTAGGCGATTATATGAAAAATATTTTCAATGAAATTCGTATTGAAAAATAATCCCGTTTTGTGTATGTGTGTACAAATATTTACATTTAAACTCTGGAATCATCTTACATGAATTTGTTATAGTTTCAACTTGTAAATCGAATTTTAATGTTTTACACGTATCGTTGGTCGTTGGTTTATAATTTAATATCAAGCGTTGCATTCAATGACAGTATTTATAAAACTTGTCAATGATCTAAATGGTGTTATAGGAGCTGTGTAAATATACATAGCTCTATCGATCCATCTTCATCGTTCCCTAGGATCACGATCCTAACCTATCGCATAATTAACTGGTACACGCGAGACACCTTGCGCGCGCTATACACACGGACCCACGTGGTCGAATAAAAACACAAGCGAGAATCGATCTTTCGAACGTAACGTTTGAACATCTATATATATGTATATATATATATATTACATAACATGCAACACTTTGATTGAACTTTCTTCCAACTTTGTCGACGATGTATATGGCGAATTTTCAACGAGATTGATGAATGCCTTAATATCGCTAAGATATCTTTTACTTCCTACGAAGTTTCAAGGAACGACGTCATGCTTTATTTAAAGCACACTGTAAGACGATCTCTAAAAAGAATAAGAGAGAGAGAAAGAAAGAGAAAGAAATCTTAGTCGCAATTTTAAAATTTTCTTTTCGTTACAAAAATTCGAAGTATTATTTGAACAAATTTGTCACGTAACAAAGAAACAATGACGAAGCGATTCGTCATCGAACATAACCTAATCTGACCTAACCTTACTTTAAGTTCTTCCTAACCTCCTTATAGGTTTGTTCGTTTTCTTACAAAATTCATTTATTTGAGTTCATTTCAAAATGAAATGTGAATGATCGAGTAAGGTAAATACATACTAAAGTGTTATATATTAATATAAACGGTATATCGTTTAATCTATGGTATCTTGTCGTCATTGTACGTGTACTCAAGTAGACATCCCATTAGGACGGTGATACAACATTGAATAAAGACGAATCGATTCCATACATTGGTCTGTTGGCATTTTCTAATATGGCGGATATCTTAGAAAATTATCCAAGTTGAAGATGATTTTATTGATATTTCATTTATTGGTTTATTTTATATATTAATAATTAAAATTTTAATATTAATTTAAAAAAAAAATATATATATATATATATATACATATTTTAAATACATATATATTGATCAAAATAAATTATTTATATATATATGATAAAGGAGAAATTCGAGTCTCTTATCTTTCCCATATCGATTTTACGTTATATGAAGATAATAATGATTTCCCATAACCATGGATGCTTTAAATCAATTTAATGTTCCTATATACGAGTTATGGGTATAGGAATATTCTTCTTACGTATGAATGCGGAACGGAGGAAATAATAATTTGATAATATGATTTACGATGCATCATATTATAATAATAATAATAATAATAATAATAATAATAATAATAATAATAATAATAATGCAATATAATTAAATTAAATTAAATATAATATAATATAATATAATATAATATAATATAATCCGCGTTGGGTATATAGAAAGAGCCCGAAATCGAATACTGCCGAGTTTATTATTCATGAGGGTCTTATAAATGGTGTTCCTCGCCTCTCCTCGTGATGCATATACGTTCCTACTATATATGTACCTATACATGCATAGATAAATGCATATATATATATATATATATATATATGCAAGTGTATTCCCATTTATAGCATTATATTATGCGTCAGAATTTTTTCAAAATTTTCTAGAAATTTAGATATTGATTTTTTCTTTTTTTGAATCATTTACATTATGGTACTACAATCCTAGTTTTGTTATACCATAAAATCACTAAATAAAGAGAAATGAAAAAGTCTCTAGATAGAAAACAAGAAAAAAGTCTCCAGAAAAAATAATTACAAAATGATTTAGGAACTTTTGGTTTTTACAAGGAATTTTGATGCAATACTGTAATATATTAGGTGGATCGGAAAGTAACGTCGCTTTCTAACCTTACATGCACACGAATAAATTTCTAACAAATTTATATTTTTAATCAATAACATAATCAACTTTGTTATGAACAACCTTTCTTCATCTAGTATGCAAATTTTTAATATCAAATTGATAAAAATCAATCGGTTTTT